CCAATGGTCCTTCTAGCCCAGTGTCCTGACTTCCGACAGTGGCCAATGCCAGGTGCCTCAGAGGGAGTGAACAGAACATGGAATCATCAAGGGGTCCCTCCCCTGTCCTCCATTCCCAGCTTCTGACAAACAGACTAGGGACACCTTTCTTGCCCATCCTGGCTAATAAGTATTGATGGACCTAACCTCCATGAATTTATCTAGTTCTTTTTTGAACCCCGTTAAAAGTCCTGGCCTTCACAACATCCTCTGGCAAGGAGTTCTACAGGTTAACTGTGCACTGCGTGAAGAAATACTTCCTTTTGCTTGTTTTAAAGCTGTTACTTATTAATTCCATTTGATGACCCCTAGTTTTTATGTTACGGGAACAAGTAAATAACTTTTCCTTATTCACTTTCTCCTTGCCAGTCACAGTTTTATAGATCTCTATCATATTCCCCCTTAGTCTCCACTTTTCTAAGCAGAAAAGTCCCAGTCTTTTTAATACCAGGTAAGGGTGATGCTTCCTGGTTAACCAGTTAACCACTGACCTCCTTAGTGGGACTATCGCGATCTCAGGCCGCATGTTTGCAAACTGTCTAAAATGTGCTGGCTTAGACTATCAGCCTGTCCCTCCAGGCTCTCGGATCCCAGCACCTGTGGAGGTCTTGGGAGAAGGTTGTTTCCTTCTGATGACCATGGTGTGTCTCTGCCTATGTTGCCGTGCCTTGTTGCGTGTGTGTGACACAAATGCATATAAACGGCCATGCAAATATGTGCAGAAAGGTTGGTTGGTCAGCCAATTCCACGTGAGGCCAGGCGACCTCGTGAGGAGTTATGAATGATACGGCTTGTTCCTGAGTTTGAGGAAGGGGAACCAATGTACTGCGGACAGCGCCGGTACAGAAGCTGCCTTGTTGTGTCTGATCTTGCTCAGTGTCATTAGCAGGGGTGGAAACACCAAAAACGGGCCGAACAAAATGACACGGTTGAGTGGAGTTCTTGGCAGTGTGTGTGTTTGTTTATTCATTTCTGCATTTCTGGCAGGAAATTGTGTTTCTATCCCGTGTGTTACTGGGATTTAGTCCTTTGATTGCTCATTTGAATAGCCCCAGGCTGAAATAACTTACTCCCTGACTTGAAGGCAGCGGGAGGCAGAGAAGCCCATGCAGGTGTGTGTGATTTGTTTAAATGTGCAGGCTGGCCCATTCTGCAGTGTCATGGCGTTCTGTTGCTGGGTTTGTTTTCAGAGAGGGGTTTAGCTCTGCTGCTCTTTCACTGAATGGCTCACCTTGCACGTGTCGTGGCTTGTCGCTTTTCCGTGCTCAGCATTAACGAGCTCTGAAAGTCAATAAGAGCACGGCGGGGCTCATTAGGATCACCGTGCCCTTTGCATGGTCTTGAGGCACAGGAGAGCATTGACCCACACGTGATGGAGCAGTGTACTAGGCTTTGCTTTGTGGCGTTCCTCTCATGAGTGCTGTCCTGGAGTCATGTGTAACCTGGCCAGTTCGCCTTAGCGTACTCACCGTGCATCATAGATGGCACATGATCAGGATTCATCACTGACTTTGGTTCGCTGGTGAGATCGTTAGCTTCCCCGGCCCCACGGGATATGAATGCTGATCCATGCCCCCACTTGGACGTGTGGCTCTCCTGAGATCAGTCTCGATAGACTCAGCTCTCCAGAGAAGGAAGATGTGTACAGGCTAATCAGCCACTGCAGAGAAAAACCTCCATTGGTCCTGTCATGTCGATCTCCTCAGTTGCTGTGGTCAGAAGCACTTGAGCTACCTGTAAAGAAAAAGGGGCAACCCTGACCCTCGTGTGGGTGTGTGTGGCGTAGGATGTGTGGAGAAGTCGGACTTGTTTCTTCCTAGGAAAGGGAAAACCCCAATTCACCACCAGAAGGACTGAATGTAGATGGTTGTGGATGGATTGGGTCCTGTCATGTCGATCTCCTCAGTTGCTGTGGTCAGAAGCACTTGAGCTACCTGTAAAGAAAAAGGGGCAACCCTGACCCTCGTGTGGGTGTGTGTGGCGTAGGATGTGTGGAGAAGTCGGACTTGTTTCTTCCTAGGAAAGGGAAAACCCCAATTCACCACCAGAAGGACTGAATGTAGATGGTTGTGGATGGATTGTAG